TGTTGACCAGGATGGTCTCGATCTCTTGACCTCGTGATCCACCCGCCTCGGCCTCCCAAAGTGCTGGGATTACAGGCGTGAGCCACCATGCCCGGCCTTTGAGCACTTCTTAGAAAACTCTGAGAAGTTGACCGAAGCATCTGGGTGCTTCTCCTTATGCTCCTCCAGACAAATTTGCACAAAAAACGCCTATGATGACATTTTGCCCCTCAGCTTCTTAGGATCTCCTTTGCCCATGTTTAGTTATCTTTCCTCAGCAAGCCACAGAGCTGCCCAGTGCCCGTCCAGCTCTCAGTTGCCCCGGTGCTGTCTCTCTTTATTTTTATTTTTTTTATTTATTGTGTTTTGAGACAGGGTCTCACTCTGTTCCCCAGGCTGGAGTGCAGTGGCGCAGTCTCAGCTCACTGCAACCTCTGCCCTCCAGGTTCAAGCGATTCTCATGCCTCAGCCTTTCAAGTAGCTGGGATTACAGGCATACACCACCATGCCTGGTTAATTTTTGTATTTTTAGTAGAGACAGCGTTTTACCATGTTGGCCAGGCTGGTCTTAAACTCCTGGCCTCAAGTGATCAGCCCACCTCTGCCTCCAAAGTGCTGGGACTACAGGTATGAGCCACCATGCCTAACTAGTTCTTTGATTTTTAAAAAAGCATTTCACCCAACTTTTAGTTATCTGTAGCTTGAGGTCTAGATCACCATTATTGAGAGCAGCTCAATTACTAAACTGTATTTCTAGTCTAGTCATTTCTTCTGAGCTCCAGTTCCACTAGTCTGAGGCCTATCAGACATTTCCACTTGAGTGTCTACAGGCACCTCACAGCCAATAAACTATAAGTATCATCCTTCCAAAACCTCCTCATTCAGCTTCTCAACTAATGGAGTCCACGTCACCTAGACCTGTTATTTGTATAATGTCTTCACTTCCCAAAGTTCAACTGATTCTATTTACAAAGCATCTCCCTAACTCCATCTGCTGTCTACCTCTATAATCTCTGGAGCCTGCCATCTCTATTACAGGACAAGGACATTATGCCTGTCACACAAAAGCTGTCATAATCTTCCCTCCACTGCCCTCTTCCCTGACTCTATTCCTCAGTCATCCTGCATGCACACACCTTACATCCTGGATCAGGGCTGAAAACACAAACTCCTACTAAGCCAGGCAGGCAATGCACCTAAGTGAAGCAGGGTGCCTAGGAACCATGATGAACTAGATTCATTTCAAGGAGATAACAGATACTTGTTTTGGCTGATTGCTCCTGAAGGGATGCAGGACCTATATTGCCAGCTATTCCAATATTTTAAGAAAAGTCGGGGCCGGGCGCGGTGGCTCAAGCCTGTAATCCCAGCACTTTGGGAGGC